TGTTTTGCTCTCTTCAAAACTCCTTGTATGGTATAACGTTCAATTCAGATGAGGTTGTAAATCAGCACCTTGTTCAGTTTTTCACAAATAAAGACAGGTCTTTCTATGAATGAGGAATTATGAAGCTCACTGAAAGATGGGAAAAGGTTATGGAACAAAACAGGCAATGTATCATTGATTGAGCTCTGTTCTTTATATAAATAAATGACCTTTGAAAACCATAGACAAAATGTGTCATGACTTTTCCGACAACCCAAAACATATATAGTCTTTTTTTATTAAAAATAAAATTCACTTGATAAGTACCAGCAAACTGCTTGAAAATCATTCATTGAAAGGAATTTTGAAAAGATTTTTTTAAAGACAACAATGTTATAAGTTATGTTATGTGTATATGTGGTTTTAAAGGGATAATTGGGAGTTAACATCTCTCTTAAATTCAGTGAACCACTCTCCTGGTTTTTCTGCTGCTTTAGTCTTTATTCTCAGAGTCCTTCATTGGGTCCACTGGATCTTCTTCCTCTACCTGATCTCTAAATGTTGGCATTCCTCAGAACACAATTTTGAGTCCACTTCCCTCTTGACACCACCTTTTTTATAGGGTCTCAATAATATGCATGGTTCCAAATGACATCTTTGTTGATAAATTTAACTAAAAAATACTTTCACATAGCAAATGGGGGAAAAAAAACTAAGTAAAAAGACAAATGATACACTGGCTTAAAAAATTGCAACTTAAATTACAATGAGTTAATATATAGAACTTCTTAGAAGTAAAAAAGAAAATAACTAATAATCCCATAGAAAAATGGGCTAGAAATAAAAGCAGACAAATCATCCTTAAAAGATGCAAATTATCCTTAAAAAAAGATTTTCTACTTCACTCATTATAAAAGAATGCAAATTAAAACTACATTAAGGTATCACTTTTATCACCCACCAGTTTGGCAAAAATCCAAAACGTTGACCACATACTGTATTGATGAGGTTATGGGAAAGTGATCATTCTATGTTGCTTGTGGAAATATGAAAAAGGAATAAAATACAGGGGAACTTGACAATCACAAAATTACATATACAAATGTACTTAGATCCCAAATTCTTTTTATAGGAATTTGGCCAAAAGATCACAGGCAAAACTATATGCACACATCTATTCATGATATTATAGCACTATTTATAATGGGAAAACCACCTAAATGTCCATCAACAAATGACTGGTTAAATTATGGTACATTCACTCAGTGAAGTAGGGTGAGTATCTTTTTAAACAGTCAATCTAGAACACAGCCATTCAAGGGGGGAAAAAGATATATAATAAATATACACATATGTGTTATTACTTTAACATAAAATTATGAAAATAGATGTTTATTTGAAATTATATATTCTATATTTAATTTTCTGTTATTTAAATACAGGTATTATATTTAAACTAAACAATAGAACTAGTTAACAGTGGCAATTAGTAGTTATTGATAGTAGAAACAACACATAAAATATGTGCGAGAAAAATCTATATTTATAATGTTGATACATTATAAACAGTATACAGAGGATAATACATGTAATCCCATTATACAGACGTTTAACTTTTTTATAAGTATTGGATTACTGTGTATTCTTAAGATACATAAATGTAAGATTTTTTAAAAAGAGAATGTAGATACAATAGAACTAACTCAACTGGTATCACCTATACTTAGTAAAAAATAACCTCGTGGTTTTTTTCTGTCACATGATATAGTAGCATTTTTTTAAAAGATTTTATTGGGGAACTGAGGGAGGGGAACAGTGTTGGGGAATTGGGGAAGGGGACCAGCCAAGTTGTTGTTCTTCAATCTTCGTTGTGGAGGGCACCAGTCGTCATCTGGTTGTGCGGCGGCAGCTCGTGGCCTCTAAGCTCAAGGTGCTGTGTTCAATCTTAGTTGTGGGTGGGCGTAGCCACCATCCCATGTGGGAGTTGAACCAGCAGCCTTGTTGTTAAAAGCGCATGCTCTATACACTGAGCCATCCCGGGAGGCAGCTCAGCTCAAGGTGCCGAGTTCAGTCTTAGTTGTGGGTGGGCGTAGCCCACTATCAAACAGGCAATCTTGTTACACCAGTTGAGACATCCTGCCACCTGTTGGCAGTTCAACGATAGCTCAGCTCAGGTGCAGCATCACTGGCCCATGTGGAAATCGAACCAGCGGCCCTGTTGTTCACAGCTCACGCTCTTAAGCCAACTCTTAACCAACTGAGCCACTCCGCCGGCCCTATAGTAGGATATTTTTATTCTATTTCCTTTTCTGAAAGCATCTCTCTGGACTGCCTGCAGCTGTTAGGACAGTCATAATTTCTTTTATGCAATAGTAAAACTGAATACAGTCAAACGTAAAATTCACTTTGGCAGCTCTGCTTTTATCAAACTTATGTTACACTGGCTCCTGGTATGAGTATAATATGATGATATCAGGCTAAATTTCCTCTCAACACAAGTGTTTTAAGCATGGAATACTTAAAATTTTATGAGTCAAGATTTAGACTTGTAGGAATTAGTTTCCAGCTCTTCAAAAATACCCATCAACCATGCATCTATATAGGCTTGTTTAGGTAGGCCAAGTATTTGTCAATCATTTCCTTTGCACTCATTGATTCATCATGTAGTCTAATGTGTAAAATGCCTATAATTTTTCAACACTATGAAGCATATACAATGTCATAAAGTAAACTCTCTTTCTCAGGGAAAATGGTTTTTACAGCAGAGGGGTAATTAGAACTTGTGAAAGTAAATTTCAATTTCAAATAAATTACAGTTTTAGTAAAGAAACTAAGAAAATCTTGTTTCACTTGACTGCCTTGTTCTGGTGATTTTTTTTCTTCCTTTCTCCTTCTTCTTCCCTTTCCCCTTCCTCTTCCTCTTCCTGTTCTCCTCCTCCTCCTTTCCCTCACCCTCCTTCCTTTTTTGCTGTGTTGGTTTTTGTCACAATCTGTACATAATACTGAATAACTTAGATGCAGTCAGTTCATCTTTTTCTAGATTCCCTTTGGCCTCTGCGAAGATTATCAAATGGTTTTGGAGAAACAATATAAATACCTGTTTTACTGCAATTCTTTTCTACATTGTCATCATCAGTGTATTTAGTGAGTACCTACTGCTGTGTTCCCTGAAAATAAGACCTAACCGGAAAATGAGCCCTAGCATGATTTTTCAGGATGCTTGTAATATAAGCCCTACCCAAAACATAAGCCCCAGTTAAGATCCTCCGCCAGACACAACTGTTTAAATAAATGTAGGCTTTTGTACATGAATAAATGAATCAATGCAGATTGTTGGAGCAACAATTAATATAAGACCTGGTCTTATTTTCAGGGAAACACAGTATATACCAACTGCTGCCCTAAATGCTGGAGATGCAGGTTTAATCGAAATAGGCAAAGCTCCTGTCCTTAGGAAACATATTATTCTGTAAGAAACATAAAGATTTATATTTTAAAATCAACTTTATTGAGATTTTGACATGCAAACAATAAAATGCACACATCGTAAGTACATATTTCAATAAATTTTTACAAATGTATTCACCCATATAACCATCACCATAATCAAGATACAGAACATTTCCATCACTTCAGGTCATCCTAGCCCAATTCTAGTTAATCTTTCCTTGACAACCTCCCACCCCACCCCCACCCAGCAGTCACTGGTCTGTTTTCTATCATTGTAGTTTAGATTTGTCTTTGTTTCATATAAATGGAATACTACCCTTTTGCTCATACTGATTTCCTTTGCTCAACACAATTTAAAAAAATAATTTTTTTTTTAATTGGGTAACTGTTTTTTCCAGGACGCATCAGCTTCAAGGCACGTCATTGTCCTTCAATCTAGCTGTGGAAGGCGCAGCTCAGCTCCAAGTCCAGTCACCGTTTTCAATCTAGTTGCGACTGGGTGGGTGGGGGGCTTGCAGCTCACTGGCCCATGTGGGAATCGAACCGGCAGCCTCGTTGTTCAGAGCATGTGCTCTAACCAACTGAGCCACCTAGCTGTCCCTCAACACAATTTTTTTGAATTGTTCTTGCACATCAAGTAGTTCATCCCTGTTTGTTGATAATTACTATGCATTACATTGAATGGATATACCCCCAAGTTCTTTATCCATTTACCGGTTGAATAGTTGGATTGTTTCCTGTTTTTGATAGTTAAAAATAAAGCTATAAAAATTAATGTACAAACATATTTTCACTCCTAAGTAAATACCTAGGCGTGGAATTGCTGGATCACATAAGAGTATGATTAACTGTACAGTAAAAGACTGTTTACCAAAATGGTTATAACTATTTTGCAATCCCATCAGCAACATGAGAGGTCCAGTTACTCCACATCCTTGTCAACATTTAGTATCCTCTTTTAAATTTTAATGGGTATGTAGTGGTAAAGATGCATTTCCTACCGTGCCAGTCTACTTAGTAACCCCACTTTCAAACTGATCATTTATTAATGATTTTTTTTTAATCTAAAACATTTAAGAGTTTGAAAGAAAATGGCTGGCTTGACCCTGCAGATATTTTGTTTCCATTTTTCCTCACGAAACCCCCGGTTACTTTCCAATAAACAAAAACCTGGTGTCAGTTAGGCCACTGTAGCTCTAAGTAGAGCTCTAGGAGCCGGGCTCACTCAGGACCACAACTGCTAGTTTCTGCACTTATCCCTGTTTTTTCCTTGAGCCTTAACGTCACCTTTCTAAGAATTTCCCAGGGAGCCGCGCGGGGCGGGGCGGAGCGGGCTCTGCAGCCCCAGGCTCCGCCCCTTACCGGGACCTGCCCACTCTCCAGGACTGGGCCCGAGTCTGGCGAAGAAAGTTAGCTTCCGGTCTCGCGGTTGGCTCCACTCCCGCGAGAAGAAAAGACAGCCGCCAAAGGCCCAATAGTGGCCGTGGCAAGAAAAGGGGTGTGGCCGGGGAAACACGAAGTCCCCAAGAGAGAGGGAGAAGGGGCGGGGTCGCGCACACCGGGCGTACGCATGCGCGCATGCAGCCGGTCGGGCTGAGCTGAGAGGGTGGGGGGGCAACGGCCGAGGTGGTGTCGTTATTTCCGCGGTCTGGACGGTCGGTGGCAGCTCGGGTGGCCACGGGAGAAGTAGGTAGGGACCTCCCGTGCGAAGCTATTGAGGCTCCCTGTCTGTCGTGTCTGGAAGCTTCGGCCCCCGCGCGTGTGGCGGACCCTGGGGACGCTAGATCACCCTGCGCCCCGGCCCTCCTGCCGCGCTTCAGGTAGGAGCTTCGGGCTCCCCGGTGCCTGCTGCCCGCGGAGGCCCCGGCCTTGACTGGTGTTACCGGGCGATGACCCGGCACCGGGCGTGCCTGCCCTCCTGCGCGACAACAGCCCTGTTCTTGCTTTGGCGCCTTGTGGGGCCAGGGCCAGGGCCGGGTGGGGCAGGTCCCCGCCTCAGGTGCGCTCCAGCTCTGGGCCTGGAGGGTGGGACACCGCGGTGCGCTCCCGCGTGCCATGCTCCTCGGCGAGGCTGTGCCGGGGTCCTGCCCGGACGGGGAGAGGTTGGCCCAGCGAGCTCCTGGCAGGTGAGGAACCACCTTGACTTGAGTTTGCCGGATGGGGTCCTGGACTGCGAGAGGCGATCCGGAAGAGTGCCTTGGCCATTTGTGGCCTGTGTCGAAAGTTGGAAGCTCTGGAGTTTGTTTGGGTCGGTGGTGGAATGATTTGTTGTTTTTCTTCTTATATAGTGGGGAAGGCACACTCTTGATGAGCTCTGGTAGGTGGTGGGGTATTAGTAAATGAGCGGCAGTAGTGTAAATTAACTTGAGATTTAATTGCATTAAGGTATGTTTTTCCACTACCAGCCTCAAACTCAGAGGAGTGCTGCTTAAGCAGTTCAGTAAGATTTTCACCCAATACTTAAACACACGTGATTTGCACATACTCTTGCCCTGAAAGCTACATCCTTTCTTTTACACCAGTATTAATTTTATAGGCATAATGGTTATGAAAGCTTCTGTAGAAGATGATGATTCAGGATGGGAGCTCAGTATACCAGAAAAGATGGAAAAAAGTAATACAAACTGGGTGGACATAACTCAAGATTTTGAAGAAGCTTGTCGAGGTGAGTTTTTATTTTTGGATTAGAAGTTCAAAATCTGGCAAAGGGTAAAATAAAATCTTGATTGTGATTTTTGAGCTGTCTCAATAAATGAAATCAATAGGTAAGTGTGGTTTATTAAGTTTGTTAACCACACATTCTCTATACTCTCTAATTTTAACTTTCATTTAAATCCAGTGTATATATAGCATTAAATGAGTTATAGCAATTAAGTATGAGATATAGCATTAAATACAGATGTTGAGGCAATTTCTTCTATTAAAATTTTCTAACTTTAAAGATTAGAGAGTACATAGCAAATAATTTTGAACTGTGGAAACAAGAATTCTGTTTACCTAAAGACGGTAGTATTAGTGTATATTTAAGGCTTGAAAATGATCAGATTATGTTATTCCCTTCTTAAGATCCTCCAGTGACTTCCTGTTGCATGTAGAATAAAATAAAATCAAAACCTCTTCCCCATGGTCTATATGATCTGGTGTCAACCTACCACTCAGACTTCATTTTTGTACCACTGCCCCTCTAGGCTCATTATGTTAGTAGCCACAAGTCTTTGTTATCTATCAACACTCTTCAGGTGTTGATAGATAAGGGTACAAGAATATATAAGGGAGAAATAATAACCTCTTCAATAAATGGTGTTGGGAAAACTGAACCCCTAACAGATACTCTATAAAGTGTCCCTCACCCCCTTTGCATATTTTGTTTATCTTAAATTGCTTTGACCCTAGGTCTTCAAAAAGCTATCTCCTTCCTGACCACTTAAATTTTACCTCTGCAGTGAGAACTTGTCAAAACACCCAATCTAAGCAGATTCACCCCCTCATTCTCCTCTATCCAACTTTAGCTCAGTTGAATCACCCTGTTTTATTTTCTGCATAGCACTTACCTACTGTCAGAAATCACCATTTTCAATTATTGTTTATTGTCCGTCTCACCCACTGGAATGTAAGCTCTGTGAGTGCAGAGATCTTGTCAGCAACCCTGGTGCACAGAACATTTCCTGGCACATAGTAAGTGCAATAAATGTTTGGAAAAATGATCATGTTTGTTGGTTTGAGGTGAAAGAGTCTTAGTGAGGGGGAGATTGAAGATAAGAGAAAGGAATAAATGATAGAATGAGAGCTTGAACTTTAAGAGAGGATGGGATCAAGAACATGGTAGAGAAATTCATTCAGGGGAAACAATAGGGAGACTGAGATGAGAACAGGTGAGGATGGTGAAGACACAGATACAAGAGTGAAATCAAACAATATGGTGAATGTTTAAATAAAAAAATTATTACAGTAATCCCTCTCAAAATAATCTCCCTTGCTTTGAAAACACTTTTCCCATCATTCTTGCCACTTTCTGAAGTGGTTCTGGAAGTCCTCTTTCGTGAGTGTCTTTAGTTGCTCTCTTGTTGCTGCTTGGATGTCCTGAATCATTTTGACTTTAGGGAAGAGCCAGAAGTCGCGTGGTGCCATATCCGGTGAATAAGGTGACTGAGGACACACCGTAAGGTTTTTATTTAACAGAAATTGCCATATACGAGAAGTGATGTGTGACATGGAGTGTTGTCATGACGGAGAAAAATTTACAGCACACTTTAAAATACACCTTCCCTCAACCATAGTTCACATCCAACTGACTTATCCCTGTTGTTTCCTTGAGCCTTAACGTCACTGAACGTCAGTTGAGCACTGAACAAGTTGAAATTTGTCACACAGCTACTAAGGTTTGACGTGCTGCTTCCCCTATTAAAGATCCCTGCCTTTCCATTGGATGGTACTTGGCAGCAGAATTCACCATATTTACTGATCACAACGGAAAGGCTCCGTGTCACACATCGCTTCTGGTATACGGCAATTCCTGTCAAATAAAAACATTACGGGGGCGGCCGGTTAGCTCAGTTGGTTAGAGCGCAGTGCTTATAACACCAAGGTTGCTGGTTTGATCCCCACATCGGCCACTGAGATGCGGCCTCCACAACTAGGTTGAAACAACTACATGACTGGAGCTAATGGGTCCTGGAAAAAGCACACTGTTCCCCAATAAAAAACAAACAAAAAAACATTACGGTGTGTCCTCATCCACCTTATTCACTGAACCTGGCACCCCACGACTTCTGGCTCTTCCCCAAAGTCAAAATAACCATGAAAGGTAAACGTTTTTAATTGATTCAGGACATTGAGGCAGCCACAACAGCACAACTAAAGACACTCACAAAAGAGGACTTCAGAACTGCTGCAGAAAGTGGCAAGAACGACGGGATAAGTGTGTTTGAAGCGAGGGGAAGTATTTTCAGGGGGATTAATGGCAATGTGTGTTTTACTGTAACAGATTTTTTAAATTTAAACATTGTGTTTTCTGATCACACCTCATATTTCTAAGATGGGGAGGAATGGTGGAGGGATTCATACCATGAAGGCTTCTAGTTTCTTAGTGAACAAGGTTAGGTCTTTGGATGATGGTGAGGTGGAGTGTGTTTAAAATAGTGCTCTTAAGGAGAGGAGTAAAGACTTGGAGCAGCTACAGGTGGAAAGAGAGCCAGTTGAGTATAAGCAGAATGATAAATCATGTGCCTACCCTTCAACTGTTTTAAAATTCATGTCCAGTTAAAGTATGCGTAAGTGATAACAGTGGAAAGAACATTAGACTGGAAGTTGGGAGACAGCCTATATATGTCTATCTAAGGGAGAGAGAAAGAAGTGTAAGTTATAGTGTAGTTTTTGTGCTCAGAGAGCTTAGACTGTTAAGTGGATCATACCTATCATCTTGCATTGATTTTAAGTGATCTGTATTAGAGGTCTGTCATGAGCCTAAATGGGAAAAGTTTTATGAAGTCCATATGGCTTGAGTTGGGCCTTAAAGGAGTGGTTGAGTTTCTCTAAGTGAATACGAGGGAATTATTTTAGACTTAGATGAACCATTAGAGCCAGAGTTCATTGAGAGTTGTATATTTGAGGAACAGTGAATAATTCTGCTTCTTCATGGAAGGAACCTAGAGGAGATATCGTTTAATCCCTGATTCAGTGTGGATTGAGAGGCTGGTGTGTCATTTTGTTGCCAACATCAAACCATCCTATTAACTCTTCCATAATTAACTCTTGCACTGTCTCAAGAGGTACAAATGTGAGGTATACTTCTTGAAACTAAAAAGTTGATAATTAATCTTCCTTTACATGTAGGTTTAGGACTAAAGGCTGTTGGCAGCTCTTGAGATAGTGGTATTAATAATTTGTTTTCCCCTCTTGAAATAATCAGATTTATTGCTTGGATTTAGTTTAGATTTCTATTCTAGCAACTTTTCTGAAAACTAAATTTAAAACAGACATCATTACATCCTTTGGCTAGACTTTGGTGATTTGGGGGGAAGAGTATGGTAAAATAATCTGCGTATGGGTGGCAGTGTTTTTCGTGCATATTTATACTTATTCTTTTAGTGGTTCTTCAAAGTCCCCTGGATCAAATTCTAACTTTTATCATTTATTTTCTGTTGTGCAAATGGCATACATTCCCTCACATTTCCTATAACTGACATTGAGACTTTTGTTGTTGTTTTTTCCAAATTCTTTTGAATGTTTGGTGCCAATGTTATTTTGCCTGATATGTAATGTATCGTTCATCTAAAGAATACCTCTGAGCTTTGCTTCTCTAGGAAACCTTGCCTAATTAAAACCATCTCATTTTGCTACCTGTAAAATAGTTCTTCATATTCCATTTGGTTGTCTCTGTTAACGTTCTTTCTGAATTATAAACCCACAGCTTAAAAATTTCACTTAAACATAAATGATCATAAAATACATACTGCTTCTTCTGCCTACCAGATTCCCTTCTTCCACAAGCTCTCTGGAGAGCCAACAACCTCTCCTAAGATGGTGACACCACACTAGGTGTCTAGAACCCAGAGGTAATCCAGGTCAGCTATCATTGTTTTCATTCTTTTTAAATTAAGCTCTAGTCTCGGAGGATATGGACCCATCCTCTTATCCCATTTTCTTTTCGATTGCTTAGTTCATTCTTCCTTAGTTAATCTTTATTGCAGGTACTATTGTTTAAGACCCGCTTACCCATCTAATTTTTTCAGCTCTTGCCCAGTACTTTTGGAAAACTTTTACTGCTTTTCTCTTCCCTCTTAAAATCTAGGTTGCTTAAGCTTCATATTTCTCTTTCTCTTTTGTCTTCTCTCACCCAGAACTTTTATAAGTGCTCAATATACAGAGGGTGCCAAAAAAATGCATATACATTTTAAGCAAGGAAAAAACTGCATTAAAATTGTAATACTCAATGTATGCTGATAACAAAAGATGAATACAAGTCATATGTATTCAATTTTTTGGTACCCCTGGTATATTTGTTTTAAGAATAAATGAATATTCTAAGACCATGTTTCTTCAAACCAGAAAATATCTGGATCTTGGACTTCAGAAGTTAGAGAATCACTGAATTACATTAAATGTTGTCATTTTGGATGACTGCTTACAACCAGCATAATTACGAACACAAGCTTGGGCACTGAAATTGTAGCTAATAGTTGATTATAATGTTATCCTCCAGTTGGTCTGGAATATGTTTCTGTGATCTTTTTAAAGATTATCATTGAACTGATTACATAGCATTTAACAAATATAGAAGTATAGATTCTTGATAAAATATTCATGGACTTTTGGTCCCCTGTCCCCATCCGTGAACCCCAGTTTGCGAATCATTGTTCTAGGAATTTTCTGTTTGTTAGCACTTTATTCTAAGGGGGGAAAAGATGGACAGAAATTGTCCCGGTGAAAGATATGGGCAACCTGTAAAGTATTATTTTAAGTGATTTTGGTTTTAAAAGTGAAAATTATGTTTTCCTTTTTCTATACCAGGGGTTGGCAAACTGCGGCTCACGAGCCATGTGTGGCTCTTTGGGTACATTCTGTCTCAAAAGTTTGCCGACCCCTGGAAGAGCCAGTCCTGCCCCTCGAAGTTTTGCGAAACCTATAAAACAAATGAAATCACCATTATGTGAATAATATCCTTTA